GCAATGTGGGATTGGGGTTGGTTTTGCCACGGTGATGCCTTTATTGGTCATAGTTCCTGCCCAAAGTGCCACCTATTGGATATAAGCAGGATCGGGCATCCTGGCTATGCCTAGCTGTATGTTTAATAGTTATCTGATGCTTGTGGCCACAAAAACTAATTTTCATCCAGTCACGATAGCTTCAGAAATGAGCACTTTATCATCCTTTTAATATTGTGTGATGTTTGGATGGAGCAGTATCAAGGCTGTTGATGAATGCTAGTTGCTTTCCACTGTGCCAGGTGGCTGGGGAATCGGGACTGCAGCAATCCAACGCATCTGGAGAGCACCAGAGTAAGCAAGGCTGCCTAGGCTGTCAGTACAAGGTGAGAAAATGGTGGTGAAACCGTTGTCACTCTTAATGCAGGGACAACAGATGAATAGTTGGGCCAATTGTACAAGAATCTGACAGCTCAAAATTGACATTGAAAAAAACAAAGTAACCCCAATCCCTCAATACTCTGTATAATAGTCAACACTTACATTAGTGATCATTTTGCAAAAGTTGGGTAGTAGTTTTATAGTTGCAGTTCCTTAAGATAAGCTGACAGTGTCCTTAGTATGAAGGAAATGTATTTTTTAAATCTATATTGTAACTTATGATGGTAAAATCCAATAATAAAGCCAATTATCCACTGGGTGGTAGATTTTCTTTCACTGGAGGCCTTCACGTGCAGGCTGGACAGCTTTCTGTTGTGAATACTGTAATTCTGGATTCCTGCAACAAAGGAATTCTGGATTACTACAAGACCCCTTTTCAATTCCATGACTTATATGTTGCACAGACAGGGTACAGCTAACGCCATCTTTCTCCAGAGAATGAGTAACTCTACTGAATGTGATATTGCCTGGCCTTTGTAGCATCTGTCATTAAGAAAAAGACCTCAGTATTGCATTGTTGTGGTCAATGGAGTTACAGATCTGTCTGGTCCCACCTGCATTTAGGATGGTTCACACAGTGCAGAACTGTGGCTGTGGGGAATTAGCTGTTGGGTTTGTAGGAGAACTAGCAGAGCCAGTTATGCTTCACCAAAACCAGGAAATGTGTCACAAAAGATACAGATTGTGTGCTAATGTATACGTATAGATCCACATTTAGAAATCACTGCTATAATATAAATAGAAATACAATGTGTCTGACGTTTGTAGGAAGACTGTCTCTCAATAGGTAACCTGCATGCCTACTCAGCCTCTTGCCCAGATACTTCTAACTGTTGATGGGCAACCTCAGAGCCTCTGTATCTCCCTTCTTATGGCTCTTTATAATTAAATTGGATGGGACTTTTGATAGCCCTTCAGATACAGGATTCCTTCAAAGACCTGTCTTCTATCAGGCAGCACACAAGGCCACATTACATTCACAATAAATACCTCAGTTGCTGAATCACATTGAAGAAAACCAATAAAAATGTGCTTTCCTCTGACATTCCCTCTTGATGTCTCTTTTTGTGGTTCTTCTGTTATTCCAGCAGCAGGCAGGGAGTCCTGGATATGGCTGAGGGCTGTGGCTGAGCAGAGCACTGCATTTAGCTCACTGAATTATATATACTGAAAACAAACCTGGGGGCAGGCCCTGAATGGCTCTGTTACTCATACGTGCAGGGAAGCCAGGCTGATGTGATTTCACAGTAGCTTTTGAAAGTGGAGCTTGTAGAGACAGGAAACAAAAGGGGAAAGATTCACCCCCCCCCCATTTGCTTTGGATCTTCCAACTTTCTCCCCCTCTTTGGAACAGTTTTAGCTTACTGGGGGCTACTGTGGAATCATGTTGGATCAGGCAATGTTTGGAGGGAGACCCTTGCCTGCACAGGCATCTTTACAGGAAATGACCAAGTGCACATTGGTTGTTCTGATTTCTTGTGGCATGACAGTCATTTCCATACATTTTATCTTCCTCAGAGCTTAATATTAGAAAAAATAACATGGTAGGAATGCTGTCTGCCTCTTTGCCTGCATAGCATGGGAGGGGGCAAAACAAAGACAGCCGCTCTCTGGGGATGTCATTGTCAGTAGCCTTTGTAAATTACAGGTGCCCAGAACTATTCTACTTTTCATTTTCTCCTTCCTCATCTTGCCCACCCCACCCTGCCCAATAGCTTGCTGATGGCTAGCTAGCAAGTGCTCTGGTTTCCCCCAGAAAACTGGGTCACATGGGCATTTGCGAAGTGGACAGTGCTACAGATTAAAAGAAAATCTTGTTGAGTAATCCTGACTAAATTAACTTTATCCACCAGGATTAATTGGTGCTTTCCGATGGTCCCTTTGCTTCACTGACTGACCAAAGTTACCCCATACATTACAAAGATGCATTTGTGTCTTCAGGCAGGATTTTACCAGCGCTTGTGCTCTGGATAGCAGAGGTAACCCTTGATCGGTTTAATGGATGAAAAAATTGCCAAGAAGAAAGCCCACACACTGCTGGTGGTTTTGCAGGTGCCATGATGATTACATCTGGCATCAAATGGCACAGGTCCACTGTGATGCTGGATGGATGTGATGCTGGCTTAGACCTACTTGTGTTGTAGACATATCATTTCTCTCCTGTTTCTTCCTTATCTTTTTGTGGTGTAAGGTAATAGTCTTCTGTATATCTTGATATTCTGTTGGATCATGTTATGCTCATTTATTTTTGTAACATCAGCCTGGTAGTGCCTGAGGTTAAACTTTCAACCTGCCAGACTTAGCTGCACAATTGTACTGAATATATTTCTCAACTGTTCACCTCTACTACTGTCAATCAGACATCCATTTTGGATATTTACTGATGAGTAAAAGAGAAGATCCAACTACAAAGAGTAACAGTTGGAGCACAATCAAAATGCTGTTAAACCACATTTATGGAATCTATGGCCTACCCTTCAATTTACTCCATATAGCTTCTTTATAGCCTGAAGTGCCTGATCCTGCCTTATCATGGAAGCTAAGCAGGGTTGGACCTGGTTGAAAACTGGATGGGTGACTTAATGACTTAATGTTGTGAACTGCCCAGAGAGCTTTGGCTATATATACAACATAATGAATAATAATTTATGTTATGTTATTCCTGGGGTAGCTTACAATGAATTAATGTTACAACAGAACATATCTGAAACCATGAAAACAGCACAATTTAAAAGAGCAGCGCAGACGAAACATTCTTCACTTGGTGCTGAAATGTCATCCATAATAAGTCCTTGGTGAGCTGTGCTGGAGGGAGACACTGCTGATAAGGCCCTTTCATTGATAGCCACCCATTGCACCTCCAGTGGTGGAGGCAACCTGAAAGAGGCCTCTGTGGAAGACCTTATTATATGGAAAGCACATGTGGAAACAAGAGTTGTATGTGAAACTGTTAATCAGATAGTCAAACCAAATCCCCTACATCAGGCTTAGTGGCCCTGACAGGTCTTCTAGCATACGGTCTAGAAATGGGAAGCCTCATTCATTTGGACCTTGCACATGCAGATATTTTCCATTATCTCTGCAACTGAAATGCAGAAGCATATATAATATTTAGAATAGAAGTTGTTCAAAAGGTTAGACACCATGATTAAAGACTGGTGATACGTATGCATGCAAGAATACTGGAATTCACCAACACAAGGATTGTCCCTTTGGCTGATACGGTTGAGGATACCTTTCAAAATACAAGTTCAAGACAGTTTCTTACTGACTGGCCTAAAGAAAGTAATTCTGTGTTTTGGAGGCAAGTAAATCCCATGGCTCATCTAAAACATTAATGTCCATTCAGACTTATCAGTAGAATGTTACATTAGGTTGTGAATTCTTTTCAGTTTGGAATATGTTCTCAGTGGTATAGGTCAGGCTTCCCCAATCAGGTCATACCTGACTGGGGGATGTTAGGAGCTGAAGTCCAACACATCTAGAGCACACCAAATTGGGGAAAGCTAGAGTAGATGAAAAATGAGGCATCAAATTTCTGGATATTTTAGAGAAAGAGCAAGCCAGGGAAACCTTAAACATTTCAGCTTTTTACTGGTTAATCTGTGCCTGCAGATTAACACAGTGAGATGCATTTTGTAGTTAAAAACTGCTGGTGGCAGGGGAGAATAGAATTGGAGATCTTATATGATGATGGGAATTAGCAAGAGAGGGGTGTTTGGGATATAGGTGTGTGTGTGTGTGTGTGTGTGTGTGTGTGTGAGAGAGAGAGAGAGAGAGAGAGAGAGAGAGAGAGAGAGAGAGAGAGAAAGAGAGAGAGAGAGAGAGAGAGAGAGAGGTGGGGTACAAGAAATGTATACTGCACATTGAAGTAGGTTGCTGCATTCATAATTTGTTCTTGTAGATTATGATGACATTTTGATGCTGGGTGAGAAGATGGAACAGGAGAAAGGAATGTGTAAGAGGGAGGGCACTGATTCAGCATTACAGGGAAAAGAAACAGAGAGAGCTTTCTCCATAATCTTTGGAGATTCTTGTAGCCCAACATGTCTGAACTTCTTGTTTCTCACAAAATTGTGCTGCAAAGATGCTTTTGCTTCTAAGGTGCCATTGAAGTTTTTCTTTCTTTTCAGTTTCAGATTAATCTTATGGACCCCCCCTTTAAAATAAAAGATGTCTGTCAGCCATGTTCAGAATGAATGAGGATGCAGCTTTGTTTCTAAATAGTACACCTAGTGTGTAGCCAGTGCTTGTAATTACCTGGAGATCCAGCTGCAACTGTATTTTCTGGCAATCACTTTCTGGGGCGCTGGTGGCGACGGCGGCAGCGGCTGCTGCTGCTATCTATACTGCCCATAACCAAAGCTTTCTGGGCAGGTCTCAGTATTTAAATCACCCATACAGATTTCAAGCAGGCCCAACCCTGCTTAGCTTCCAAGATTCAGCATGATCAGGCACTTCAGGTTATACAGCAAGCAGAGTCTTAGAAGAAACTTTCTCAGCCTCTCTTTCTTGTTCTTTCCAGGACATTTTCAGGAGTACAAGCCTAGAAGAAGATAAAAAACTTTAAGACCATCAAGATGGCAGGAGCTTCTGTCAAGGTGGCGGTGCGGGTACGCCCTTTCAACTCCCGGGAAATGAGCAAGGAGTCCAAATGTATCATACAGATGACAGGAAACACCACAAGTGAGTAATTGCCGCATCTGTTTACACAAAGTAATTCTAGCCCTATTCTCATCTAGTTATCCACATGTTGACCAAATGCGTGCAAGGGGAGCAGGATCACACTGCCTGAGTTCTCTCTGACCTCTGCACATGCAGGTGAAAGTGAAAATGGCATGTTTTATTGCATTACTGGGCTTATATGTGCAGTCAGGAGCATAGACATTGTTTCTTGGAAATGTTTTGAAAAACAAACCATTTTGTCTGGGAAGATGTCAGACAATGCTCATCCTGCAGATTTGCTTTCCCTCATAATATCTGAGATCACTATCTGAGTATTTGAATTGTTACCCAGCAACATATTAAGAATTAGAAACAGCCTGGAAATGTACCAGTGAGTACACAGAATTAATGTTTATCTTTCCATTTCTGAAATTGCTTGTTCTGTTGATGCCTATTCCTTCTAGAGTTGAAAATCCTTGCTTTGTCTTTAATTGCTCTTGCATTGTTTTTGGCTGGTGTTAAACTGCTGCTTGAAATGTCTTGAGATGCTCTATAGAGTACTGAACAAAGAACCAAGCTAGACATGATGAATACTTGTGTATAGCTTAATGTAATAAAAATAAACATCACCCCAGGCTTTTTCTCAGTCAGTTTGTCCTTCACCACACCTTCCATAGCAGCCATTTTGGGGTAACAGTTTCTTAAACTGTCAGACTGGCCCAAATGTTGCCTGACCCTACTCTAGTGGTTTATATGCCAAAATAATAAAAACATTATTAAAATATTTTATTAATAAAGTTTAAATGCTCTGGTAACCTCCCAGCTGGGTTAGTGTAATGCGCTGTATGTGGAGCTGCCCTTGAAAACAGTCCGGATACTTCAGCTGGTACAGAACAGAGCTGCCAGGCTGCTGACGGGGACCGGTCGTTATTCTCATATAACGGCGGTCCTCTACCAGCTACACTGGTTTCCAGTTGAAGTCCAGACCCAATTCAGGGTGCTGGTTTTAACCTATAAAGCTCTGAACGACTTGGGACCAGGATACCTGAAGGAGTGCCTCTTCCCTTTCATGCCCTCACACCCCTTAAGATCTGCGGAAGATCCTCTGCTCCCGGAGCCCTCTTTAAAGGAGATAAAAAGAACATCTATCCGGAGCAGGGTCTTCTCTGTGGTGGCCCCCAGATTATGGAATGTGCTCCCTGGAGAGGTGCGCCTGGCACCGAGTTTATATTCTTTTTGGCGCCAGGTTAAAACCTTTTTATTTAATTGCTATTTTTAAAAACTAATATTTTATTGTTAACAGTCGCTCTTTTTGTTTTTTGTTTTTGTTTTTATATAATCTTTTATGGAATCTGTTATTGTTTTATTGTTTTTAATTGTATGTGTTGTGAGCTGTGCCGGGATGCCGAGACATGTGGTGACGGCATACAAAAGTTTTAAATTAAAAAAAAAAAAAGATTACAACAAAAATTAATCAAATGGAGCAGCATCATGGTATTAATCGCCACCCAGGGAAATAAGTAACAGGTGAGCTGGAGTGAATTGAAGAGATGAAAAGTACTTGTCCTTCTAGTGTGCTTCTTTCCGAGCAGCGCTGCTGCTGTTGGCTGTTTGCATGTGAACGGAAGCCAACAACCCCAGAGATTTGCTGACAGTGAGGTTTTTATTGCCCACAGGACAAAGTCAGTGACAATAAGCAGCAAAATGAGGAGCTAATCCCTTCAGCTGGACATGAAAGCTAGTTCCTTTTAGAGTCTCACTGCATTGCATGGCACATAACAGCTCAGCAGTTCAGTAGCAGAGTGCAAGGAAAGAAGCAATGGCCAGGGATATCTCTAGAGTGAAAACATGTTTGGGAAAACTTTGTTTACTACTGGCTTAATTTAGGTATGAAGGGGCCATTTACAGATGTAATGTAGGGTATATAACTTTAGACAAAGGGGCATTTTTGCCTGACCACCTCTGAATAGTTAGAGAGTATATAAGATTGGATCTAATCCTGTACAGCCAGTGATAGAAGAAGGCTTTGGTTAGTAATACTCAGAATAGACTGTTGGAAACAGAGGAGACTGATGTCCTGCATTTTGATGAGTTTCAAGTGGAGTCCTTCTTGTGCTGTTTTCCTGCATCCTTGTAAACCTGGGGGTCTTCTTGTGCCCTTGAATTCCTTCATTCTGGCACTATCAGTGTTGTGGAGCAACTATTGTTGCATGGTTTTCTGTATTTCCCCCCACTGTGAAAGGTTGAAAGGCCTCTCCTAAGGCTCAGTTACTGGCAGCCGAAGCTCTAAGCTACAAAGTACCACTCTTTCTTATAAAGTTGCCGCCATACCTTCTGCTTTTCATCCTCCTTCTGGTCTGTCCATTGGTCCACCCCATCACAGGAATGTGGCATCAGAGATCTCTGAAAATGAACTTGGTCCTGTTTCCTGCCTTTGATGTTCAGTAGAGTTAATGCAAGGGTGAGGTGCCTAGTAATACCTTTCAGAGTTCTTCAGTTTGGAGCTTAGGATCCCTATTGCTTACCAAGGGTCATATCAGACTGCTGTACGGTGCCTCTCCCCATCCTACTGCTTTTGAACCTTTTCCACTGCTTTGCTGGTACTCCAGTTTGGCAAACTGGAGTAACTCCCGGTTATGGTGTTACCTGCAACTGTACTGCACAGTTTCAAAAAGTGCTGCTTCATGGAAAGAAACATGGTAGTTGCTTACCAGAATGTCATTGTGTCTGTTAACACGCAGTGGTCATTTCCTTTCGCTGACAGAAGGCTGCTATAGAAATTTTCCCCCTCTTTTCATTTTTCCTACCTGCTATCAGGGGTGCGTTTTGCTAGTGATCTGTATGGATGGTAGGACCAGAGTAATTCCATGCTGTAGGTATGCTGGTAATGCTATGCAATTTCTTAGAAGCCAATCATAGCTATCTGATTTTGACTGCCATTAAATCTTTGTAGAGGTAAGAAACACTCTGCTGAGAGGAGAAGATACTCATTGTCTTGATTAGTGATAGCCTGACTTATAAAATCAGCCTTATAGGGGAACTTGTCAGCTGATGAAATCTAAACTAGCAGAGATTGTCCAAGAAAGAGATTTTGGGTTGTGCTGGACAGCTCAATGAAAATGTCAGCTGCTGTGAAAAAGGCAGATCCCATACTAGTCATGATGAGGAAAGGAATTGACGATAAAACTGTCAATTATATTATATTCCCCATATACAAATCTATGGTGTGATCACATTAGGAAAGTTGCATACAGTTCTGATCACCCACATAAAAAGGGATATTGTAGATTTGGGCAAATGTAGAAAATCACGATTAAAATGCTGGAGGGTACGAGGGAACCCCTGGGATTGTTTAGCTTGGATAAAAGGGTGAATAAGGGAGACATGATAGAAGTGGAAGCACTTGCTCACACAACACATAGTTAAACTGTAGAATTCACGTTCACAAGATGTAACTCTGGTCACCAATTTCAGTGGCTTTAAAGGGGGATTGGACAAATTCATGGAGGAGAAGCTTATCAAGGGCTACTAGCTCTGGTGGCAGTATGTGGTCTCCAGTATTGCTGGGGAGGAAGGGAGCTGTGGCACTCATATCTTGCTTTACTGAGGGCAGCTTGACTAGCCAGTCCCTTGATCTGATCCAACATCGCTCTCCCCCCCGAAGTAATTGATTAAACACTGTTGAGCTCAAATAGGGAGGAAAAAGATAATGGAAAGAAAGAGTGGATATTTTTGCATTCCTCTTTCCGGGTGTCTTGGGTTTTGCTGCAGAATGCTGGTTCCCAGCATCACGTTTTTGTTTCTGTTGAATGATTGCTCTCCCCCGGGGCAGCTCCCCTCTGTTACTTTTGGGGCAGGCAGTGTAATTCAGCCTTTCCAGTCAGCTTCCGGAATAAGCCTGGCATTCCTTCATGGACCAATCTGTCCCTTGTTATTTTTTCATTTTCTTTTAAGAGCCAAATACAGGGCAGTTTTTCCATGGTGTGTGCAATGCACTCTCCAAGCAAACAAGAAGCCCTGTATCACTTCCAGAGGAACATTAACATTCTCTCCCAAGAGTGAGGTCTTCGCTAGGGCAAGTCTGTGACTGAATGAAATGCCATGTGGCTTTCACAGAAACCTTTCCTCTGTTCCTTTTTCTCTGGATTTCCCTGATCTGGACTTTGTAACATTGAGAACTGCTTATAACTAGTTGGAAGGCCTTTTCATTCATTGGCTTTCCTTGCAATAGCTGTGGAAAGCTATTTTGTTGATATGCCCCAGTCCAGATGTTCCCCTTCAAGGTACTGAAGGCGTATCAAGTTCTTTAAGCAAAATGTTCTGTACATGAGAAAATATGATTCTTCTCATGGGGTGCAGCAGGTGGTCTTTGATGCAGCCACGATATACCCAGATGGATCTGGAGCCTGCATCCAGCTGCCACCTCTGAGAGAGGCTTGGTTGTGGACGAGTAGGAGGAGGGCATTCACAATGGCAGCGCCTCCCGTTAGGGAATAGGCTTGCCTGGTGCCAGTTCTGCTATCCTTTTGGCACCAGGTTAAGGTTGCCCTCTTTGAAAGAGAATTTTACCAGTTCAAATAGAATACTGGGGCATCATGTCAGCTGTTCAACAGGTCTTATGTCTTAATACATGCTACTTACTGGTTTTGCTTACATTTGGTTTGAATTTGGCTTTTAAATCTAGTGTTTAAATTCTGATGTATTATTTTTATGATATCTTACTGTTATTTGTATTATCATATTGTATTGGTTCTGTATTTTATGTACTGTGGTAAACTGTCTAGAGAGCTTTGGATATGAGGTGGTATAGAAACAACAACATGGGATGTGATGACATGAGCTTCATGATCCTATGCATGTTGAGACAGAAAAAAGGCCTGCAGCTCCTTGCATGCTTCAGCAAGGCATTTTTCTTTTAAACATGCATGCAATTGGATCCTCACTCTGTTTCAATGCATCAGAACAGAGGTGGGTACCACAGGCTAGTGGGACTAATGCAGCCTTCTTGAGCTTTCAATCTG